TCTTTTGTCATGATATTTACAGATCTGTCAGAATCTGCAAGTCTACTGGCATTGTCAGAAATTTAATGTTCTACTAATTATTAAAACTAAAAATAATTGCTATGCAAGGAAAAATGTCTCAAAAGATAAGTGTACTCAGCATGCTATGACCTTCATCAATCATATTAAAGGAACGTGAGGAATATTAAGGAATTACATTTTGAACAACATCTAAGCACACTTTTTAGGTTGCAGAAGTCTTATCTATAATAAAATATGTGAAAATAGCTTTTCAAAGCATCTTACTTAATTTTTGTAAGACTTCTTTATAAAGCTCCAGTAGATGAGACCTGAACATATGAATAATGTGCTTTCCATTGGAATTTTTTAGGGTATGTGTGCATGTATATATCAGAGAATTAAAGATTGCTATAAGGGGCTGTTTAAAAGACTGGTAAATGAGGCCACTTTCAAAGATCAGAAAAATAATTTCTGGATTAACATGCATTCACAGTACATGTTGCCAGTGTTTAGTTTTCTAAATCTTTGTCACTACAAACACAGAACTGTTGGTCTTCAACATTGTATTCTAAATGAGCAGTGAGTATGCAGTTGATGCTATATACAGCTGGTGCTGGAGGTCAGAGAGATCAGACTTGGTCTTGTTTCGGAAGATTCTGTCTTGTTAAATTACAGCTTGTAAGCTTTTTTGTGACACCTTGCATTTTTCATTGTAGTGGAATTTCTGTGGAGCCATACAACAGAGAGCATGTGTGTAGGATACATGTCTGCACAGGATGGCAAAGCTAAGGTAAGACTTGAAGAATAGGCTGTAATACGGTAAGAATGATGCAGATGTTAAGGAGATTCTATATAGGAAATGTATTTTAAAAAATTATCTTGAAGAGAAGGAAAAAGTAATGGGTGCAGAAGAAATTGAGTGTATCTGTGGCTGGAGCATTTTTATTCCTTTTTTTAATTACAGTGATTGACAATGGTGTATGTATTATGTCAGTTTATATTTGAATGATTTTATCTGTCTGATTCGGTTACACTTATTGGATTGTACAGCATTTTCTTGTGGGCATGTCATCCTCCAAATGCAGGAATTGAACCACTAAGAAAATAGGGAGAGGATACTAAAAAGAGGCTTTGAGCTAGTTCCTGTAACAATTCCCCCCCCTCATTTTTTGGAATGAGAATTGAAACTGAGTTTAGCTGCTGAAACTGGAAAAATCATAAACATCAAACACTACAGATTAACCAAGGAGAATGGGAGCCACATCTTCTTTGGAATACAGCACTGAATGGAGAAAAAGACACATACTACTATGTAGCAACTAGAATATGTAAGAGAGGTATTTGGACAATGAGAATCATCATGGGGGAAGCTGCAAATGGAGAAAGAATCATTTCCATAGTCATCTATAATGTACAGCAATAGCTATTTAAGGATGAGAGTGGACAATCAGAACCAGTTAAAGGAAGTGACAAAAAAGTGGAAAAAGTGCCAGTGTAAAAGATGGCTCATTGATAATGTTAAAGTAAAGGCAGAGTTTGTGTATTTTCTGGAATACTTACATTAAAGTAGGAGATGACTGCCAAGATTTTGATAAGCAGATAAGAGTAAGAAAGGCATCCAGCATTCTGAAGTAAGAATTTAAAGAAAGGTTAATTTTAAAGCCTGTAAGAGAGAAGAATTTGAGGGTCTGGGTTTTGTTGGCTGTCTCCAGATATAGGTACTACTTGTGTCACTGCTAGGGAGGAAAGTTTAGCCATTGGCAGTAAAGGGGGAGAGAACGCTAAAACTCAAATCTTTCTCTGTTTTTGTTTGGCTTTTTGGGGGCTAGGGGGTACTGTGTTTCATTTGAGATATAACTGTAATGGAGAATGTGAGTGAAATAATAATTACAGTAATAGTAAAAAACGTACAAAAGTGCAAAATTGACATTATAATTTTACACACCAGAAATGGTGTAACTGCTGGCTGGAGCATTAGGAACAGATGTCTGACTTGAGGAGTGAAAGGTAATTTCTTTTTTCTTTTTTTTTTTTTTTAATATAAGAATGCCCCAGAAGGAGAATTAAGGTAAAAAGTTGGTAAAGGAAATGTTGGTAGAGGTGTTAGTGAAGTACTCTCTTTCATTATGTATGTCAAGTTATTTCTAGTTGAATACGGTGTGTTCTCACTTATTCTCTTAATATTGGTTTTACATTTTATTGGAAAAGAATCCAAACTCAAACTAAAAGGCCAGGCTGAACTAAGTAAAACTAATGCAAGCTGAGCTGTGGATGTTCTAGTATTCAATAGTAAATTCAAAAGTTGTTATATTGTGTTCACAGTGAAAGAAGGAGAATTTCTAGAATGCACAGTATTAGGTTATCACAGTGTGCATACCTGCTTCTGGCTTACACTGGGAGATTCAAAAGCTGTTTCTAAGGAATTGTTATTATTTCTTCTTGGTAGTGTCATTCTTATTAATTAATAAATGCTAAATGTAAAATCTATCTGGTAATGAGTACTAGCATGACAGTACCATGCCCAGAGATGTTTTCCTACTCACAGTTGCAACATTTGACATCTGGTGCACATTGTTTTCATACTGCTGGTAAATTCTCCAGCTGGTAATCTTGATTGTGCTGACAGACACAGCTGCTCCTCTTGGTTCACTTTTAAATTATGCTTTTGACCTTCATTGAAGAGTTAATCCCCCTCCCTTTCTTCCTCCTTTGAGTCTGTGGCCACAAATGCTTTCCAGAGAAAAACCACAAATGCTTTTGCTGCTGACTTCTATTGATCAAAAAAGTCTTCTGTCATAAAAGCTGGAATTTTATTCTGCTACAGCTAGGGCTAAGTTATAGATGGAAAACTGGGGTTGAAATAGAACACAATGTAGTGTAAGTTAAAGAAATGTATATATAATCTTTTTTCTTTAATACAGTAAGTGTTTTGGTACAGTTAATGTTGAGCGCTTGCCGTGGAAAAAAATAATGGTATAAAAATAAAAGTATAAGATACCACTTGCTTGTGAGTACCGTACCAAAATCATCAGACATCAGCTTGCATGGAAACATGTTGCTTTTCTATTTTTCTATGGAGGTAAGGAACTCCAGCTTTATTTATTTCATCAGTCAAGGACTCAAGGCTTATTCTGCATCCACTTTAAGAATTAGAATCATAATTATATAAAGGGGTACATACTAAAGAAGAGAGGTCCTCCTTTTATCTGAGTGTGTTTCTTGCTGTATTGGAAGCTAACACATTGTAACTAGCAGCTGGTTGCTATGAATCCAATGCTACCATTGTGGAGATATCAGGAGCCTTTGTTGCAAGGCAGACTCACTCTGACCAGCTGGATACCAGCTCACCTATAGAAACCAGTGTGCTCAAGAGGTGGAAACGTACTCAACCAACAAACTACCTTAAGGAATTAAGTAATTCCTTAAAAGCAAAATGAGAAAGGAAACTGGAATTGGACTCAAAACCATACACCATAACCTGATGGTGCTTTTGGCTTTTAGCATTGTGAGCTCTCCAAGTACTGATCAGGAGTCAGCCTCACAACTGGGCTTTGTTTCTTTTTTATGACACAGCTGGCCAGTCATCTCCAGATAAGACTGCATGTGTGCTTTCTAGCCAGTCTGAATGGAAAAAATGGCTGAGCCTGCAAGAGCTGTAGAACAATTTTGCACTGTGACTAGTAACTGATTTAAAGCATACTTTCTGGAAAGATTTCCAAAGGATTTTGGTGGGTTTTGTTTGTTTGTTTGTTTGTTTGTTTGTTTGTTTTGAAAACCAGTTGCCTGGAAAAATCAGTTTTCTATTGAATGTTGTTTTAAAATGTTTGGTTGAAAGTTCTTGTTCTTTAAAAATAGTGTGGAGGCTTCCCAGATGAACTAAGTTCACACTTTTTTTGCTAATGCAGTCATCTCTGATTGTGTGTCCTATTACTTGTTTTTGGCCTCTCAGTGCTGAAAGTATGGATAACACTGAACATCTTCACTACTTGCCTACTGGATATCTGACTTTCTTCAGGTTCTTGTGCCCTTGGGTCCTTACATCATTGCCAGAAGTAATGGCTTGAAGCATTTATCATTGTATTCTTTATTTTTTGCCATCCCTTTTCACACTAACAGTTTAATGATCACTCAGCGCCAGTGTTCACATACTGGATATGGAGGGAAACAAATGTTTTATCTGAACAACTGTAACTTTTTGAAGAACTTGGAATTGACCTATACTGCCTCCTGCTACAGCTTTATCCCAGCTGGAACCTGGAACGCTCAGCTATGGTGAACTTAAGGGACGTATACATTCTGTTGTAGCAGTTGCCCTCCCCAATCTTTCTTTGTGAAGCAATGCTGTGACACATTACTTCAATGTTAGTCCTGTTCATTAGGAACATGACCGGACCTCCTCGACATCTCCTGAAGCAAGTTCTTTCACTGACATCTGTGTCACATAATCTGACACTCTACTATTTCTAGCCATTTAATGGGACTGTTGAATGTTTTAGGCCACTGTGGAACTTTCTGGCCGTAGCCATGAGAAAAGATAGAAAATAATAGTCTGTGGATTTCCTCTGCACTTATCTAGCTCCTTTTGTAGCAGTAACTGCTGCATCAGCAGAAGTTATCTTCTAAATTGAAGGCCTGGAAGTTTGGATATTGTTATGAATTGGAGAGGTAGATGTATTCCTTTCTGTTTTTTGTGGTGCTGATCGTGAATTACTTGATATAAATTTGAGATCTTTTATAATCTGTTAACTCTTTCACCCAAACTTTCTTCTCTTTCTGAGATTCTAGTCTTCAAAATAACCTTCCAGATATTTTTTATGAATCTACAATAGATCCAACAGCAGATCATCGTACCAACTAAAAAGGTTCCCCAAGCTCTTTAAAGATACTGTGCAGCTTTGCATGAATGGCTTTGAGACCTTTTGCCATGTAATGAGGAGAAATCACAATACTGTGATTTGAGATGTAAATGCAGAACCAAGGAAAGGAGATTTGTGGATAGATTACAAGTTGATGGACTTCTCTGAGTTGCAGTCTCTATATCTTCTTGTTCTTTGTCTGTTAAGCTCAGCTGAGGATGGTGCAAAGGAAAAGAGGTTCCTCAATCTCAGATAACAGTGTAAATGCACTCCTGCAATGTAAGTGCACGTATAAACTATCTCTTGAAGATTCTGTTTGGTGGCAGACAATCTTCATTTGATTTTCACTGTGTATTTTTGCATAATCAAGCAGAAACCCTGGCAGGGTCTTCAGAGTATTTGCTTGCTTGGAGCTCACCACATTTTGTGTGCAAAAAGTAAAGGGTGTTGGGATGTACCAGAGAACTTAATTTTTTCTGGAGCCCCCTAAGTTTTTGTATTATCTTAGTTATTTAGAATAGCTGATGGTGAATGATGTTTTTACTTGAAAACAGGGACTTCCTTGCTATCTCTTCAGCAGTGTTTTAAGGACAAGTGCCTTCATTGAGTGAAAAATCTAATCTTAATACCAACAATGTGCAGTTTTGGTCCTGTGTTATCTATATTTGAATAATTCGTCAGCTTAGTATGGTTCTTAGTAAATATACATTTTTATATGTGACCTGTGTATAAATGCAGTTTACTTTTGCTATTATTACAAATTCTGCAATAATTCTGAGGTATCATTGTAATTCAGCTTTATAAATTTTTCTAATAGCCAGATGACTTAGACAACTAATTTCTAAAAATCTGGATGTGATGTTGAATGTAATCCAGATTCATTTGCCAGTTTAAATCTCTGGCACATGTTCAGTTCATGAATTACTAAACTTTA